CGCCAATATTTACATGAACGATTAAAATTATCAAATACCACAAGCAGGGGCAGCTCGTATAACTCGGGAGTTTTAGTCAAAATTTTTGTAAGTAGAGAAATACGAAATCTAAACCATTAATTATTGGATAATTGGATCGCTTTAATCCGTAGTAAATATGTAAATAACATTCAGTTTTTCACGTGTGAGACAATTGTTTCTTGCCACAATAGGCCATAATCATGCTCTTCCATTAATGGAGTTCCATAGCTTATAATTTCGGAATAATTTTTAAGCCCATCAAATTCAGTCACTGCACCCATCTCTTGTTCGTAGGGATCAATGTTTATGTACCAACTTGCCATGCCATCACATGGTGAAGAAGGGTCCATCTCCAAATCCATCCATTGGAAATCGAGATCATGTAGTTTAGAGAATTCCAGATCATTAATCGACTCCTGACTTGACGATTGGCACTCTACCGGATAACCCTCCCATTCGAGATTATCAAATGAATAACAATCAGTACTATTGGGCGTGATTTCGGCTTCCAGAGACCGCATCACATTTTTCAATCTTTCATCATCACAATCTTCATTTTGTGATTCATCGAGCAGAGACATAAGAACACTTTGATCAATTTGTGAATTTTCAGTATCAATAAAATCGTTGTGCCTATCGACTGATTCCCAGTTATCAGCTACCATGGAGGCCATATTCTTCAAGAAATATAAATACTAAGCAAAGAGAAATTTGAAAGGGTTTGTGCACTTGACTCATTGTCTCCACTCAACAAGCCCTTAAATAGACAAATGATAAAAATGCAAATCAATGTCATATTCCAAAGACCAAACATAAGAAGTAGGCACATGGCCAGTGGGCATCTTCTCCTTTTCGTATACCACCAATCAATGATAATAAAGTCCAAAATAATTTTGAAGTCACTAACCAACTCCAAAATAGTATTATTTTTATTTGAATTTATGATTATTTTTGCATGACTTCTTGACGATCCATCTCAAATTTCACTAAAAGAAGAAAGTTCATCTGTTAACATGCATTTTCATTTCTTAATGCATACTTCATCGAGGAGTCTTTTCCTAGCAACACTTTACAACAAATGGACCCAACTGATTGATTGTAAATTTTTGGAAAGTAAAGTTTAATTTATTGCTGATATGAGATTTCAAATAAATATGTTGAGTTGGTCATTTTTTAACGATCATGAAGGATCGTGGTACAATAATGAATTTAAATAAAAGTTTAAATGAATTTGAAGCAACCAATCATGTGACCTAGTATTAAAACTAAAGGACCACATCCACCAAGAAAGGCCAATAAGATGTCTTTGTCTACCACAAAAAACTTTCGAGGGAACCAAGAAAACTCAATTATGTATGATCTAAACAAGATAGTATCAAGGACAGGCAACACCTGCCCCCGAGGCACTTCTCCACTGGTAAAAGAAGGGTTCTCTCAAGTCTGGCAGTTCAAAGGTCGTGGGTTCGATCCGTGAGGCTCTTGAAAGGCAAGGCATATACTGGAAGGTAAGATTTATCCTGAAAGGCAGGAATGTCTTGGAAGGCAAGGCGCAACGTGGTTTGGCTCATTAGGCACTTTGGCAGTTCAATTGGAGTGGCGCTCGACTCTGGTCAGTAGGAGGCACATTCCGCGGTTTAATTGGTCGATGTGAAGAGGGGTCGGATCACAGACCTAATGAATAGTCGTCGAAGGCGGACACTTTGATAAGAAAAAAAAAAAAGAAAGACAGGCAACACCTTTAAGATTCGTTAGGTCAAATGGCAGAAAAATTAAGTGAACAATTAACTTATCCCATTAGTCACGTCCCAAAATGAAGTTGTATTTTTTTCCCCTTCAATATAATTAGTATTATCGAGCGCTACATATTCGATATATTATTAACCAATATGTAAAATATTCAAATTACCTACATTATCATATTATCGAATATCGCGCTCTCAAATTAAAAGTTTGATATGTTTAATAGGTTAGATTAATGAAATTCAATGTTATTAACATAAAATAGGCATCATTGCTTTTTTTAGTTTGTCTACTTTTCTACGATTTTTGTCATGATGTCTAGTGTTATAAAGTAATACATATTAGACATAATTTTAATGAATATGTAAAGTATCTAGTCGTGCCAAACTTATAATCTATAATCTATAATCTATAATTCTATAATCTATCTATAATATATTAAAGTATCGCATCAAGGGAGAATGGTTTTTTGGACGATTTTAACTCTCATACAATTCAAATATTTCAATAATACCTTACTTTTCGTTTTTCAATATGTAATAAATAATACATAATTATTATCGTTTATGAAATTTGTGTTATTAATCCTCAATTAATTAACATTCATATTAATCTAGATTCAATGAATTTTCACTTGATGAATATTGAATTATATGAATTTAGAGTTATTATAGATGAATTTATTCATGTTCATGCATATAAAAATTTTAATGAGTGTTTAAATTTAAGTATTAACAATTAATTTTTATATATCAAGTGTAATATAAAAAGATTGCTCATTTATAGTATTGCATCATTACAAAAAAATTTGAATAATAGAAATTGAGTTTTGAGAGTACAATTTTCTTTTCTTAAAATTCTATGTTAAATTTTATTTTCTTTAATTCGCCTGTGTCTCATCAAATCCTCCAACAAATTGGTATCAAATATTACTTTTACGTCACTTATACAATATTTTAGAATAACGTGTAATGCACGTTCAATTTTGACTAGTAATAACAAATACTGTGATCTCCTGTTAAAGACCTACAATATGTTTAATCAATTTGTTAGAATCTACGAATTTATTCAAATAAGATAGGCACCATTGCTTCTTTAGTTTGTGTACTTTTCTTCATTCTATGTTATCATGTTTAGTGTTATCGAGTAATGCATACTAGACATATAATTAGCAAATATGTAAGATATCAAATTGTCCCAAACTTATCTTGTTAACGAATATTGTGCTTTCAAGTTAAAAATCTATGATATTTTTAATATGTTAGATCAATATTCAATATGCACGTAGATCCACGTTAACTAAGCACCATTGCTTTTTAGTTTGTCTGCATTTTTAATTAAATAATCACTAATTACTAGGACGAGTGATTATATAGTTAATATAAAAATGAATACCATATTAGCTAGGGATAAAGCAATATTTAGGTAAGCATATAACAACTATTATTGAAAGCTAAATAATTTAATCTTTATATTAAGTGGAATATATTGGATAGATTGCACTTGAAATTGATTATGTAAAATGGACCTAACATTTGTCCGGTGCTCAATTAAGATGCTTAAAAACTGGATTTTCAAACCCAAGTTGGTGGCCCCTTGAATAATTGAAAAATTCTTCCACTGCATATAATTAGTTGCTATTTGCGTATAATTTCGAGTTAGGAGAGGGTATCAGTCAAAGTTAGGTGTGGTTACATATTTGACATAGTTCGATTCTGTATGAATCATAAAATTGTACGAATCTTTAAAAGGAAAAAGAATCAAATCATACTTAAATCATGCTTGTCTAAGCTTGCAAGTAGGCTAACCAACTTTAGGGTACACATTGTAATAAGATATCTTCATTAATAAAAGTATACATTCGTTTACTCTCTAACACAGTCTATCCTATATACTTTAGTGGATACATAGGTGATAAATGTTAGTTGGGGGACGGACTATCAAGATGAACTGTGATACGTTTTTGGCAATAAATGATGAGTTCGATGCCTAGTCATTGAAATCCAATATTGAACCACGACGCGTCCTGAGTGCATTAAGCGGGTCGTATCAATTGGTTAAAATTTTAATTTTTTCAATGAAAATTGAATGTTTGATTTCATGTAAGAATAATTCTTTTTATTAAAATTAAGAGAAAATGTATAGAAATTTAATTTAGCCCTATTAGCTTGCACCCACCGGAATAGCTGGCGCACATGAGTTTGATTTTCACAATCCTTTTGATGCTTTTACCCTAATGAATGGAACCCCACATCCCAAGATGTGATCCCTTATTGCTGTTCCACCAATCATGTCGGCTGTCCCGTTAAAATTCCATTTCTTATTAAATTATTTCACTCAAATAATTATTTCCAAAACGGATATTTAATTATAGTTTTTATGATATATAAATAATAAAAGGTTAAGTTTAGTCGGAAGAGAGAACCACTATAAACATTGTTAAGCTTGACTGAACATAGACAATACCTTTGAAAAATATATCTGAGAAATATTTTAGACAAGACACGTGAAGTGAGAAAGTTTTGAATCATAACCAATCAATATTTCGCTAAAAAATATCATTTGAATGTGAACAATTTACAATATCGTGCTACAATGAAGGGTTTTTAAGTACACATTCAACTTACTGTTTTGTTTCTTTACAGTAAACTAAGCTATTAACATATTTTGATTGACGATCAAAATATCATACTAACATTCCACGTGCTTATATATATAAAATTGGACCTTAACTTTGCTCTTCTCATAATTGATGATGAAAATTATCAAGACTAGTCAGTTATGACTTATCCATGTTGCTACATAGTGAATAATACAGCAATTGCTAACACTTGTATACTGAGTTGATTAGGTAGATTTTTCTCTTTATATCCCTGTGCAAACCGTGTCAATTGTTTTGAAATCAACAAGTTTGCAAACATCAAGCCTATCACTTATCGGAGTCAAGGAGATGATGATGGAAAACAATTAAAAGAAAACGTATTTATAAATTTTTATTAGTTAATCAATTTTGCACTTTCTTCGTAGTCTAGTGGTACAATCTAAATGAAACTAGAAACTTATTGATTTGTAATTGATAATGGAGTCAATCTTGATAGTTTGTCGAAGTCCAATACTTTCTATTTCAATAAATCAACAAAGAGAAGAGAGTTGTCATAAGAGTTAAAATTTTAAAAACTAGAAAGAAAATCAAAATTTAAACCTAATCTTGCAAAAAAATTTAAAAAAATTGTCCTTAAATTATTAAATTACAAAAAATAAATTAATTAACTGTTTTTAATGTTAATGGTGCACGGAAGTGTGACCGGAATCTGAATGGTGGTGCTAATAGCTGCTGCTTGCTTTGTGGCTCCATCATTTGCTCTTGCTCCACTTCTACATTCACTATTCGGCTTTACACATATCTTCAGGTTGCATTGCGTCGGTGGTGGAACGGTACTTGTTATGACTCGACGTTTTATACATTTCTCGATATTAGGACGAACTAACGAATGAATGTTACATGTCATGATCGGACGTTTTACACATTTCTCGACATCACTACCCACCGACGAATATATAGTATATGTCATGATTGGACGTTTTGCACATTTCTTGACGTCACGTTGCGCTGATGGAGGAACGGTACCGGTTACAACTGGACGTGTTGCACATTTCTTAACATTTTGATGCACTGATGAAAGAATTGCACCTTTGACGGCTGAACATTTTGGGCCATTCTTGACATCGTGGCGAGGTGGGGGCATTGTCCCCTTTGCGTGCTTCTTCTTGGGCTCATTGTTCCCGAAACAACTCGAAAGTATACTTGCTGCAACCACAAACAATTGCCGGCAGAAATTAAAAATAAAAAAAATATATATTTTTGTTGCAAATTGAAAAAAAAAAAAATTACTGAAATCAATCAACACGAAGATAAAATTTGCCACGTATTGTTTCACTTTATAGAATTTAAATGCAGACATATTTATAATATTACAGTCATTACTCAAACGAGCAGTCACGTACAAATCAGCTAACTTAATTAGAGGTCATTTGGTAGGTCTTTTAATTTTGCTTTTGCTTCTTGTGAAAAAACTTCTTGAGAAAATTAATTTAAGTAAATTTCTTTTAAAAACTTCTCTGTCATACAAAGTGGCTTCAGAAAATTATTCTAACATGTTTAAAAACGATTTTTTAATCTTAGTAGCAGTTTTTAACTTTTCAAAAACTTTGCCAAACGGCCTTGAAATGAATTTACGAGATAAAATCTATTATAACCTAGAGCACCACGAAACCCTGAACTTTTATATAGATATCCTTTTTTTTTAATAGAAAATTGAAATAAGAAAGATTAAAATCAAGGAAAAATAAACAGTAAATTGTAATTTGATACTTACCTATACCCATAATTGCTCAAGTACTTCCGCAAAAAACCCTGCAAACATAATGGAGATATATTCTATCAAACTCGATTGGTAATGACAAACAAGTGTTTAGTACGTAAAATTCGATAAGATTGATCACACTAATAGATAGAAACTCTGCAGCCATAGAGAACAAAGAATCACAATATGAACATTTCGAGTTATACTTTCAATTAGAGGAAGAAGGGAAGAGAAGAGATATACCTGAAACACAAATACTTAATTTCGACATTCTTTGCTTTCTAAGAAAAATGTAATTTTATTTCGTTTAGAATTCTAGCATACTTAAAATTCTTATCTTAATCGGAGGATGAGAAGTCCCATTTTAATAAGAATATCTAAAATTAATATTTTACCAATGCGTTTTAATTGTTTAAAATTAATATTATTTTTTAAGTGGATGTGGAATTCTTCTTGCTATATTCACGTAATTCTTTACGCATTTATGGGTCATGGTTGACGTTTGAACACCCTTCAAATCATAAACCGTTGCAGATTTTCCAATATTGTGTTATTTATTAAAGTTTATTATGACTATATCTTAAATCTAATATGTTGATTTATTTAATTACAATTACAAAGAATTTTCTTTAGTTAAATATGCAGGTAAAATAATAAATTTAATTTTTAAACACAATTTTCAGTCAATGTTTCTTCCAACGATTAAGACTTTTAGCGACAAAAATTTAGTCATCAATGGAACTTTTGTCACCAATTGCGTTTTTCTTTTGCAATTGCTGAATTGAGCTTGATTTACAAAGATACTCGTACTAAATATGTCATTTAAATTATAAAATAACCCGCAAGAATTTTAATTTTTTTCGTTTCAATAAAGGATTCGAAATTAGACGATTACCATAATTAGACTAGATTGATATTAATTTAGTCCCATTTATCACTACATCGATAAGTAATTAACAAACATGAAAAAAAAAATTGAAAAAGAATTAGATAATTCAGTTTATTTCACGACCCACCACATACACCACCACGGCAGCCAACACCACCCAGCCTCCACCATTGATAGCCGTTGCTGCTACTGCTGCTCCTGTAATAACTACTCCACCATCATTTATTCCACTGCTTCTGGAATTTCGACCATTATAGACATCACGATGTGGAAGATGAGTTTCGATAGCCTTTGCCACCAGGGGATGCTTCTTTTTGTCGCCATTGATCCCGAAAGAAGACAGAGATACAAACTATTAGGGTGCGTTTGATTGCAAGTAGGAAAATTGCATGGAAAGAAAATATTTTCCAAGTAATTCAATTGCCTGGAAATTATTTACATGGAAAATGTTAATTACACGTGTTTGATTGACTTAAATTTCAACCTAGAAAATGTTGTAATTTTCCAACTTTTGGTGTTTGATAGCCATTATTTTCCATGAAAATAATCATTTTTTCCAACTTTATCTGTTTGACAACCACTATTTTCCATGGAATTTCATGGAAATTGTCACTTTTTCCATGGAAAATAGTGGTTTTTCCCCCATGAAAATTTGTCAATGAATAATCCAAATTTTAAATAAATTGTATACATAAATGCGGCCAAATCCTAATCAATCATAATTAATATAGCAATTCATTTGTGGATAAAAACATGCCAAGATTCGGTACGAAAGATGCATAAACACTATAGAGATGAAATAATTATCCCTAACAATTCAGATTTCTACCACTTATATATTCTTCTTTGCAGTAAAAAATAATAATCAGATAATCCATTCAAAAAATAATGATGAAATTTCGTTCAATGTATTACATAAAACGAAAATGAAAAAAACCCGAAAATCTGTATCATAAAAAAATAGCAAATAAAATCAACATAAATGTCATACTTTCACATATGTTTGTTAAATTATCCAAGCAAATCATCTTACAATAGTGGAGGCGGATCACGGCCCAGATTTTCAAATACTAAATCACGCATGAATTCTTCTTCAGTCAAACTCATAAATACTTTAGCCAGACTCTCATCCGATCGAAATATTTTCATTACTTGCTTTATGTCACGCTTTTCTATACTCATGCCTTGTAATTTTTCTAGAACCAACTGCCAATTGATATGATTTAGCGTATCTAATGTTGCTTAAGTCTCCATAGCAATTGCAATTTTTTTAGATGATTCGGCAATGCTTGATAGGGCAACGAGACTCTCATCATTAGGTTGGGTACGTCGACGGCGAACTTTGTTAGTTCCTCCTTCGGCATTACGCTTAGGAGCGCGAATGGGGCTTGGATCTGTATCCTCATTTAGACCATCAACTTCAAGCACATTTTCATCTAAAAAAATAATAAAATCAGAATTTGTTAGAATCTCTAATATAATACGAATTATATAATTTTTTATGTACGATCTAGTACATACCATGATCGGGGGGATAAAATGTCATTGCCGGTTACAGCACGATCTCCTGTAGCAGAATCATTTCCAAAGATAGCCTCCAAATCATCATAACGAGAACAAAGTTTGGTCCTCCACTTTCCAAATTCTGATTTGCCCTACAAGAAAAAGAGTGAAATATGTTTTACGCTAGTTAGTGGGCAAAATAAATTAGATTAGTAATATTTAAGGAATAATACTTTCATTGGTCAATGAAATTTTGTACCTTCAACAACTCCTCCCAAGCTAGTACATCGGCTGTGACACGTCCAGTGTGAGGATCTAACCTAAAACCACTCATGCTTAACAATTGACGAACTTCAACATATTTTTTTTTCAGAGTTTTCAATTGCGCCCTCACATTCTTATCAGACACCATGACTCCGCATCCATTGTGCACGTTCTCGATTGCTTTGGACACGTGATATGATGAAAAGCCATTGTCACTTCTTTTGTGACTAGACAACACTTGATGTAGTAGTGCAGTTATCATACAACCGTCCATTGCATCACTCCAACGTATTTGACGATTTCGAGAATTAGGATCCGCTTGGGTTGAGCTTATTTCCTCCACATCTGAATGAAGGGTTGGTCTAGGAACCCGAAAAGGTGCCGCAGAGCTTTGTCGAATATTTGCCATGTATAGTGCAAGATTAACTATTTATGGTCAACTAATAACTAAAAACATTTAAGAAAATTGCATGTCAACAATGTCTCCAATAACAACAATTCCAATTACAATATTTAAAATTCTAACAATCTTATGTCAACTATTATAAGACATGGGGAAAAAAAAAAAACAAAAAATCTGCTTAATGTCAATACGTCTTCAATTCAAGCAATTACTACATATGAAAGTCTAGTACATTTATATCCATTACATAGAAACGAAAAAACAAATAAAAAATTAAAAACAAGAAAAAAAATCAGATATCAATCGAAATCAATTCCCGCATTCTGATTGGGAAGATAATCAGCCCACATTAAATCAGCAATCGCATTCCTCTTATTAGACCACACTTCCTGATTTGTGAAAGATATGTGAGCATTTGGAGTTTCATCTTCAGGTACATCAATATGCGTAGGGTTAACCTCATCGTCACTACTATCTAAGTCATCCTCCTCACAAACATCTTCAACATCATCAGTCCTTAAGAAGTTGTGGATGGCAGAACAAGCAAGGACTATCTTTGCTTGTGTGTCAATGTTGTGATAGGGTTGATGTCTCAAATATGCAAATCTTTTTTTCAGCAAACCAATTGTACGCTCAATAACATTGTGTAGAGATGAATGTCGAAAATTGAACAACTCCTTACTACTTTCAGGACGTTGACCTTCAATGTCTCTATGATGATAACGAGTCCTACGGTATGGTGCAAGAAAACCCGAAACTGATGGGAAGCCAGCGTCAACAAGGTAATATTTACCTAGGAAAGAGTGGTTCATAAGATGGTAGTTAGGTAATTATTATAACTTGTGTGTGGAAGAAATGTTTTCAAAATAGTGACACAACTTACCAATAGGAATTGTTAGCTTATGTCCTTGGCGTAATATTGCACTCCGTAACAATCGACCGTCATGTGCGGATCCCTCCCAACCGACAAGTACGTAGGTAAATTTCATATCAAATGTGCAAGCTACTAAAACATTTTGGGAAATCACTTGCATTCTATTGCGATATTTACCTTGCTCCTCTAAAGGCACATACGCAGCTATATGTGTACCATCGATTGCTCCTACGGCATCCTTTAAAAAACAATACTTTTCAAAATAAATGTGAATATTGAATTTTTAAGAAATGTGATGAAATAACTACAAACCACTAACCTGAAAAAAGGAGTACCATGGCTGCACATTTTCTTTTTCGTATGGTGAGTTATGAGGAGTGGCATTAATCACAACATCTCTATACAATCCAAGACAAGCGTGTAAGACTCTGTGAAAGTAAAAGCTCACTGTTTGACCAAAGCAAAAGAAAGTAAAATGTCCAACGCGATTACGTTGGTCATGCCCGACTGTATTCAGAAAAATTGCAACTTGTTCCTCAATTCGAACGTATTTACTGTCAACCAATCCATAAGATCGCAAACGAGCACATAATCTTTGAAATGGACCTATTTTCATCCTAAGGAGATCACGACATATTGTATCACTCGTGCCAAACATTCGTGTAAGTGTTATTTCTCTTTCAGAATTCCAATTTGTATGAGGAGCTCTTGGAAGATGTCGTGCACGACGCCTAAGTTCATTATATATCACAATCGCTTGCATGACCATCGTCCAAAATATACCTAAATGTTGTCGTTGGCATCGACGTTGATTCGTTGTTGTAGCCATGTTATAAACTACCACGGTAAATAAAGATTTGTTTAGAAAGAATAACATAAAAGCATTACAGAATAAAAAGTTAACTGTAGCTACATCATAATAGAAAGTCATGGCATGCACTTCCAAGCATAATGTCAACTGGTTATATTAGAATTCTTAAAATCATTTTTTTCAATTTCATGCTTCCCTACCTCATTCGCACCACAGTAATCCCCCAATTAATAGAATCAAGAACATAACCCAAGGACATAAATTGTTAAGCTACTTGTAAATCTTCAACTATCTCTCAAATCAGAGATTAATAGTAGGTACAATAAAATCTAAGCTATAAAATAACTGTCTCCAACACAGTGAGATGATTATAAACTAGAAATGATACAATCTGCCTTAAAATATGTCAATGTCGTTAAAGAATGACACGTTTATTCACTTAAATCTAGTCTTGAACATGTCCTCACTCACACAAAATGAAGTGGTCTCTTTTCAACTTTCTGTGGGAGACAAATTAGGATTTATTGTTCTTCATTTCCCTTTATCATGGGTTTGATATGGCTGTTTATTTTTCCATAGGTGGCTATCATCCCAGAGGACATTCTGAAGGCCAAACAAGAAGTTGATGCTGAATTTTTTGGTGAAGATCGAAGCTGGGCTCTTGGAGAGAGCAACGTGAGCCTCTTTCTTGACTTCAATGACATGCCACTCTCTCATTTTTACATAACTGTTTTATAATACCACTCATTCAACTTAGAAAGCACATATTTGACGTGGAGGCACAATTGTCAAAATTGCATGATCATGATAAGAATTGTTCAAATTAAATTTTGAATTGGACGAAAATGGTATGAAACTGTACAAGGAATCTCACATAACCTATGACTTGGTAGCAATTGGCAAACTTTGTGATAAACATAAACAAGCACCCGGTTGGATAGTTTAAATACTAACGACTATTTTAACTTCTTTTTTCTTCAGGCATCAACTAGTGTTTCTGAACGTCTTCAATGCTTGAGAATTCAAGACCTCTGTTTTTTAAGGATCTTGATACTTTAATTTTTGTAGAGTTCTTTTACACCTAAACTGATATCAACATATATCACCTTCAAATAGAGTGGCTTTTAAAGCATGGTTCAACCAAAAAGTACGAATCACAGAGCAAAAGGAAAGATGACATTAACAAGAACTGAGA